CCAAAAATATTCTATTGACTTTGGAAAAAGAGGGCATTTAACCCATCCTGTCTAGGTGACTTGAGTGGCCCCATATCAAAATCACCCTTCTAATTTCCACAGTATCCAACATTTGTGACAAGCTATTAAGTAGTTGAGTTTCAATCTCCGGGTAAGAAGTGGATGTCATCGCCAAGCAATTAGGTGAACCTTCCATTGTTGCTTAGTGGTACCCCACAAGAATCCTTTATTAACGTTCACAAGTATTCACTAGAAATAATGAGGTCTACATCACATGACTAGATATGGCTGAAGAGACAGAGGTGATTAGTATGCATTTGCCAGCCAAAGATAGCAAATTCACTTTCTAACTTGCAAGTCTCTTCTTGATGTTTTCAACCACCTCCTTAAAAGCATCATTTTAAACCCGTGAATGATGTAGAGTAACCCCTAAATATTTCTCCAAATTAGCAATCTAGGTAAATCCAAGCACATAATTGATCTCATTGCATCTATTACGGTTCACATTTCTAGAGTAGAAGATTCTAGTTTTTGTAGAGCTGACTTTCAACCCTGAACACGTACAGAAATTGTTAATGCATTTCATAATCACATTAGCTTGATGTAAGAAGCTTATGCAAATATTATAATGTCATCTGTACAAAATAAATGAGATATCAAAGGGCCCATTTTCTTCATTCTTATCCGCATTCACTCCCCAGATTCCATATGCATTTGGATGAGATGGGCAAGCTTTAAAAGAGTAAAAATGAAAATATATAAATTAACCTCCTAAATATTTTCAAGAACAATATTCAAAACAAATAATTACCAGAACATTAAAACATACAAAATGTGCAAAGTGGAGTTGGGAAGAGGGTTTGTTAGCACTAAGTGAAATCTAAGGTAAAGATTAATTTCATTTTATTAATAATTAATAATAATAAAGAATCCTGGTATTCAGATTAAGCTATTTAGATTAGGGCTTGGTCTGGATTTCCTTGTCAATTACGTTGTCTAGTTTAGATGTGTCACGTAAAATGGATCAACGAGATGCCCAACATAGGCACATTCCATAATCTGATCAGAGCCCAGTATGTTGTTGGGCCATGTTAATTTACAATGTTCTTCTGGGCCACCAAAGGTCTTCTTATGGCCCAGAAGTCTCCATAATTTTCATTTTGAAAGGATTTTTTTCCTCTGACGATTTCAATGTAGATGTAAAACAAAGAATTCGATTCGTCCTGCCCTAACGTTCAAAAAATTCAATCTGTGGTTCGGTTCTTCCTCCCGCAGTCTCTTTTCCCTCACAAAATTGTGATATCATCGTTCGGTGCTCATGCTTCCACAGTAAGAACTCTGTAACCCTAACTGCATTTCTCTGATTTGTAGTCTGCAGTGTGTTTCATGTTCAGCAGTTTTGCCTTTTGACTGGTGATGCGCTTTTCCCGCGGAAGCCGTTGGATCAGTGAGCGATTTGCTTCGTTAGTGTGAAAATGGCTAGACGTAGAGTCAAGAGAACCGTTCAAAAGACCGAATCGTCACCTGAAGCCAATAGAAACGGCAAGAACGAGCCCAAGGAGAGTCAAATTAAACCGCAACAAGCTCAATTCATAGACCTCGAGGGTATATTTTTCTGTGTGCTTTTTTCGTCCCTTTTGTGCTTTCTAATTGTGAAAATTAGTATAGTACCTAATTAGGTTTTGAAGCCTATTTATATGTGAAAAGGCGAAATTTTATGCCTTCGAATTTGTGGACTGGACTCCATTGAATTGCTGCTCTCCAGATCAGCAGATCTCCACATCGTTTGGTACCTTTAAGTTTTAAATTCTAACTTTAACGATTTCTGTTTACCAGTTGAGCGACAAGCTACTGCCATTAGGGCTGTGCGTAATGTGGAGGTTGAACATTTGCTGACAGAGTTGCGTTTACTTCGATCGTATTTTAGCGAGGAACAGCTCCAGACTCCGGTGCAACAAATTTTCAAAGAAATTCTCCCAAATCTTTCTGTTGTAAGTGACAAAGAGAATAAGAAGTTTGAATTGAGATGGAATGATAATGACAAGAGGATGTCCATGAGCTGTGCTGGAGGAAGAGATGTACATGCTTCTCTTCTGCAAAGACTGTCCATGGCTTTTCCTGACTTCTCTTCTGCAATGCCTCCTTTGGATGGCTTTGAATACTCTAGCAAGGCTGGTAATTTCTTTATTTTCTTCATAATTGAACCCTTTCTTTTCTTTTTCGTATAGATTTTACCTGACTATAGTTATTTGATTATTGGCAGGAAGAACAAGTTTTCTTGGTTCTGATAACTTGTATATTAAGGATTTTGTAAGTTCCGCTTATGCTTTAATTTTATGCCAGAAGCTGAAACTTATTTTGGTTAAACATTTGATTAAACTTGTTCTTTGCTAATTATATGACATGCCTGTTATTTAGAGTATGGAGGAGCCATCAGAAGCTCAGGCTCTTGCAATGCAAGAAGCTCTTCGGACTCCTGGGGTTTGTATTTTGTATCATCTTCCTCTTGTTTTATTTCTGGGCTTTGCTTCTGCGCTATTATTTTTTGTCAGGCTTCTTTATTTTCAAGTTGTAAGTAGTCATTGACCCTAGGCAATGTTTAGAACGAGATTAAATGTTTGCATCATTAATTCAAATACAGAATTTTCATATAATTTTGTCAAAATGCACAAATAATTTGCAGTTCTCTGCATGCCATATAACTGAGCTCTATGGCACAAAATTAGTTTAGTTGATGCATGTTAACTTCCAAATGCCAATTGGTCTGCACCCAGATCTTCAGAAAATCATGTAATGACTGTAAGCTAGGATATGAAGTCCGTGAAGGAATACATTACTCATAGTCCCATGCATTAATGCTTGAAAGAGTAAGCTGCATTTTTTAGTTATTAATCGAACATATCCCTGAAAATCTGGTCAACAACCTACAATAATCTTAGTAGCAAACCTGGAGAAATTGATTTCATGGGAATCAAGATAAAGAAGCAGCTTGGAATTCATTACAAACTCATATTTGTTGGCTATCAATAGAAGCTGAAGGGATTTCCAGATAGGCATTTTTCTCTTAAAGCTGGAGAAATTAGTTTGTTTGATTTATGCAGGTGAGTAGTCAAAGGTTGTCTGTTGGTATGACACCCAAAACACTTAGGCTTCCGAAACCTGGCGAGATGCTCCTCTCAGTCCATGGATCACCCCTTGGTGTTTACAAGGAGAATAACATGGATGCCATACATGGTAAGAAGGATGTTGTATCGAGCTTTTGTATATGCATAATTTTTCATGGTATTGTTTCCATATTGCAAAAAGGAGGTGTTTTTGCTTTTCGACTAACATTTGCTTATTTCTCTGAAGTCCCAAGTACCAACCTTGATGGTTTTCCTTCCAGACGCTGAGTGTTCACTTCTGTTATGTGATACTGCAAGTTCTTCTGTTCTGATATCCATTTTAATGTGCAGAGTCAGAAGAGGGTTGAGTTCCTACTATAACTCTTTAATTGGTGCTTCAGAAGCAAAGTGAGTTGTGAATATCTCAATGTGTACAAATCAACCGCATTTCATATATTATTATAAATGAGGGCTCCATACATAATAATGATTTGCCATGTCCCCCCCACTTTTCCAGACTTGCAGATTTTCCCATGACAGCAAAGTAGATTGACTAAATGTAACAATGTTGGGTCTTCCAGCTTCCAAGGATTTGGCAATGATGAGGACGAGTTCAGTCCTGCCATGGAGGCCAAGAGTTCTTGATAGTGGAGTATATTGTCTGACGTTTTGTATGGGGTTTGTATCATGAAAAATTCATAGATTGTATACCCAGTCCTTATGGACTGAATTCATGATAAAATAATTAATTTTTTCCTATTCTTAGGTAGTCAGTGTTGATTTAGCTGACTTTGGATTAAATGGATTGGTTCATGCAATTTTTAGGTGAAGCTTAACATTTTAGCTTAATATATATGTAAGCAAATAAATTGTTTATATAAATTTGGTTTTTTAGATTTGGTGCCGATAATTCACTAGCTTTGGCGGTTGTCAGGTTTGATACATCACTTTGTCACCCATGGTATTCCAATGAGGACAAACTCTCTTCAAAGACCCATGAAAGTCATGAGACGTTGCAGCAGCAGGGTTGCAAACTCCCTTCAAAGACCCATGCAGTGAATAAAATTAAACCTAACCATGAGGATTTAGAACGGAGAATATAGCTGGGTTGATGATTCCAAGAAGATATATAGAAATGAGGATGATAGCATATCTTAATTTCAAATCTCAAAGCATTGAATTTACAAGTCTTTCTCACTTATATACCTCTTATCCAATCAAAATTTATTTGAAGTGAGATTTTTTTCACATCAAGTTAAATTCACTTACACTTGGCATTTCAACAATCTTTCATTTAAGTGAGTTTACCATTAATCATATAAACATGGTCTTCTTATTACCTCAACAATTTACCAATGTTACCATGTAATAATTCAACCTAATAACACGTCTTAGACTCTTTTTTCATCACCTTTGTACTATGTTTTATCAATAATTTCAAGAAAACACAAAAATAAACACCATCACATTTTAACTCAAAATGAAGGTATTAATTATTTTTTATCATATATTTCTTCTTTAACCTAACTCTATTTGAAGTGAAACTTCTCTCCACACCAAGTCTAATCTATTCACACATGCTTAAACCTTTCCGCAGACATATCCCAGTATACTAATAAAAAAGATCAAATAAAAATTTTCATTCTTTCACAAGGCATTATAAGAAGCATCATTCTCGCTGTCATCTCATTCGATGTTCAATACTAACATCACCAATAAGGGAACATTAGTTGCCTTAGACAAGAACAAAATGGATGGAATAAGTTAAAACATAAGCCAAGCTTAGAAACAGGGTTTAGGGTTTATGTTCATGTTTCCGTTTATGAAGATCCTATTAAAAAAAATTCAGTGTTTCACTCTTGTGACAGTCCCATCCACAGACCACAGCTCTACCTAAAATAAAATTTCATCTAAATAAAGTCTTTAGTTTACATCATCCTATTAAATATCATAAATAAACGAGGGGAAAGAGGAATGGAGTTCATGTAACAATAGTCGATTCCCAAGAAGCAAATAGGCCTGAAAACTCCCCCAGCAGTAATGATCGGAGTGCTTTAAACTATCAAGCGAAAATGCACTCAACGTTCTCACAAAATTTCTTTGCAAAAAATCATGATTCGGCGTTGTTGAGCATGCAAGTAAAAGGATCAGAGTATTGAAGGTTAGCAGATCCTGAAAAACAGAAAGAAAAACTGTCATTAATATACAATGAAATACAAGAAATATGACTAGTATGGCAAATGCAGCAGCGAAAATATTAAATTCAGTCCACAAGTAGATAAAAGTTACGGAAACTGTTACAGGAAGGCTGCTAAGAAACAAAAGTTTCTCATTGAGACTGTTTAGAAACTTCGTCATTGTTAAAAACACACCCAATTAACTTAACGCTGAGATAGTATAATTTATGAATATTAACACATCCTCAGTTTTTTGTTCTTAGATAACTAACTTTCAGCTCCCAAAGTCAATTTTTCCTAGTCATCTGAAACTTCCCAAGGTTTTCCCAGCTCTAATTGTTGCATTTAGATGACTAAATTTACAAAAGGTTCTAGGTCAGATTAATATTTATGGAACAAGAAATTTCAGGCACATCAGGGGACAAAATTATTCTCACTGCCCATTGTTTCTTACTTTCTTAAGTTTTAATCTGCATGTTTTGAAGCAAAATCTTCAAGGCGTTGGTTACTGTTAAAACCAACAGCAAACCTATGAGTTTGCAAGTTAGCATGATAAAGAGAAGCCCTATTATGAGATAAGCTATTTAGTTTCAAGGAAAAATATTTTCTACAAAGTTAAGGAAAACAAAAATACTGATATAGGTCAAATGTGCATCAATTGAAAATCGGTTCTTCAGAAGAATCTTTCCATGCAGATTAGAGTGAGCTGAAAGTGGCAGCAAAGAGATCGACGTACCACCTTACAAGGGAGCTATTCTCTTTTATGCAAGTCTCCAGTAGATATATTCATTAGGAGTTTCATTCGCATGAACTGCCAACTACCTTTATAGCTGACCCTTAGCAAGATCTTGTAGTTTGCTTGAATCAGCACTAGCATTTTCTGATTTTGAAGTTGCTGGTAGAGACCCAACAGCAGCCAAAGCATCCAAGAAGAATCTCTTATTAGGGACAATACCATCTTTATCCATATGCTTTAGCAATTTAGCTAGATGCTCCTTCAAACTGGCTTTAGTATAAGCCCCATAAAGAAGTTTATACGTTGATGAATCTGGAAAAACTTGTATACTTCTTGCCCCCTCAAAAAGAGCATCAGCTTCCATGGGCAAACCATTCATGCAGTAAACATCGAGCATTGCATTTAGGGTTGAAACTTTTATCTCAACTTTTGACTCAATCAGCCCATCAAATAACTCTCTGGCTCTGGAAATGCAATCACATAGACCATACATATAGATTAGACTCTCATAAGTGACAAAGCTAGGTTTGTAACCCATCTCAGTCATCTTTTTATAAGCATTTTCTGCTTTATCCCTAAGACGTGCCCTCCCATAGTTCAAAATCATTGAATTAAATGTAGGCAGAGTTGGTTTCTCTTTGGAGCGTAATAAACTCTTGAAAACCTGTTCCATCTTATCAAATTGCTGCCTTTTCCCATATGAATCAATAAGCAGATTAAAGGTGATTATGTCAGGCTTACACTGGTTACTTTTCATTTGAGAGAGTACAGCTTCCATTTCTCGGATCATCCCATTTTTTCCGTAAGCATCCATGACACCATTAAAAGTGTAAATGTCAGGTGAAACAATGCTCTCATTGAGGTCTTTAAACAAGAAATTTACTCGATCCACATCCCGAGCTTGGGCAAAAGCTCTCAACAGAATGTTGTATGTTACAATGTTGGGTTTACATCGTTCCATTCCTTTCATCTTCTCAAAGTAACCAAGAGCTTTGGCTAAAGCCTTTGTTTTATCCCGTGAATGAAGATGGGCTGTGATGAGTGCATTATAGACTGAAGTATCTGGGCGGCAGCCAGTATTGCGCATCTCCGTAAAAAGCCACATAGCCAGTCTCGTTTGTCCTTTCTTTCCCATTACTGATATTAATTTTGAGTAAACCCCATTATCAGCAACATACCAGCGTTGCTTCTGCATCCATCTGAAAACCTGAATATTAAACACTTTGAGACAAACATATAGCTGCTGAAATTGTAAAATATCATAGCTATTTTTCTGTGCTCCTTTTTACTTTTAATACCCAGCATGTGCTAAATGGTGATATGGAGTAGCTTATTAAGTACATAATGCATCAGCCAACTACGTCATGAACCAAAGAAACACATCAGTAGAGTGATGTGGTGAATTTCTGTTAAAACCATGTCTGGCAAATGTGACTCCTAAAACTTTGCTGGAAACATATAGTAAACTGAACTGTTCAATCATTCGCATGAAAAGAAAATTGATGTCCAAGTTTAAAAACCCTACAAATTCGGGTTATCTCCCAGTCCCACTGACTGAATATTTCGGCACTACCAATCTTGGAGATATGGTAGCAGAGAAATACCAATCAGATAATCTCATTATCAGTTATCGACAAAGGTACAGATAAAGCAGAACCAACTAATTTATATTACCGAGATATTGTCTAAGATTGAAAGAACGAAACTAACCTCAAGGCATTGCAGCCAATTATCATGCTTTCCAAGCTCTTCAAACAGCAGAAAGCAGTGCTCGGTTCTTACCAGCTTCACATACTTGTTCAATGTCTTCAATATCGGCTCTCTGTCACTAAACTTGCCCATAAGCAAGCGAACCAGCTCTTGAGCTTCGGATTTGTCACTGGATTTACTCTTGCGACTGACGGAAACGCATGAAATTCGGATTGTGGGTGTAGCCAGTTGAAACCGTGATGGCTGGATTCGCCTGCAATTGGGCAATGGATAAGAAAGAGAAGACGTGGGAATTTGGGAAAGCTGCAAAGAGTGGCATTGAAATGGATTCGAAGCCATTCCTAATTTTCCAGAATATTTACTGATACAAGCCATGAGGATGCGTGTGCCTTGTAGTCGTAGGCTTGTAGCGCATATGAAGAGGAACGAGAAGATAGGTTGAGCGTTGCCGATTAAAAAAAAAAAAAAAACGGACGATGTGTTTTGCGACAAAATAATATCTAAAACAAATTGAAATTCCCAGATTCTGTGACACGGGGTAACTTGGGGCCTGTTTGTTGTCTGTTTTCAAAATGTATTTTTTAAAATAAAAAAATTTAAAAATTTAAATAAATATTTTTCATTTAGTTATTTTTAAAACTGTTTTCATTAAAATAAATTCAAGTTATTTTCGTTTTACTTTTTTTATTTTTAAAATATATTACATTTAATTATTAAAAATTATAATTATCTTGACTAATTTATATTATTTATTACCACTACTAACAACCTATAACCATTATTATTAGTCTATTTTTAATTTTAAAATTATTTTTAATTGATATAACCAAACAAATTTTTATTTTATTTTATTTTAAAAATAATTTTAAAAATTGTATTATAAAATAATTTTTAAAAATAAAAAAAAATGAAAACATAAATCAAACAAGCCCTTGATATTTTTGAATCTATATTATTTTTATTACTCATACATATCCTCTTATTAAAAAAATAATATTTAAAACATAATTAGGAACTAAATATGAGTATTTTTTAATGAGAATTTGAACTTGTTTCATTACCTTATGATGCACTAATTCTTTTTACTGAATCAAACTTTTCATTCATTGAATTTACATTTTAATTCTTTGTAATAATTAGTGTTATTTTACTATTTTTAACATACATCCTTCTCTACAATTGTTATAGTAAAAAGGTAAATATATTAATAAAAGAAAAAAGAAGTCCACAAAGTAAGCATTAATATACAAGTTTATTAAAATAATGAGGAAAAGAATATAGAGAAAAAATTGAGATTACATTTCTAAAGGCTGGAGTTGTTAAAGTTATGCAAAAGCTTCGAAATGTTTTGATTTATGAGGGGTTGTCGATTAGGATAAAAGCAAACTCTCTTATTATGTTTAATCTTCAAATTTCCTTAACTTGCAAAGTTTTCCAAGATGATTCAAATTAAAGAGAAGAAGTTTTTGATCTAGAACAAGAGGTTGCAAACATAAAAAGCTAAGAAGTGATATAGGGAAATAGCTTTAAATTTGCAGAGAAGCAATTCAATCTATCTCTCATAGTTGAGTAATAAAGAGACAACACCATAAATTCTTTTTTCTTTTCTTTTAAAGATAGTAAATTGAATTTCCTAACTTATAAACTGAAATCAATCGAAGGTTGGCAAAAGAAAGTGAAGATCTTTCTTTTGTGACGATGTAGTCTATAGCTTCTTTTATATTGCACCCATTATTACATATCTGCATGCACCTTTTAAAAAGAAATATTGTTCATTAAAGTAGTGAATAACCTGCATAGCTAGAATTATCTTCCTTTCCATTGAGAGCTTGATTTATATTATACCAGATCAAGTGAAAAATGAAGGTAAATGTATTCCACATTCTAAAACTTTTGATTCTTGAGCAAAGATTTAGAAATCTGTAAGATCTAGAAGACAAGACCATGGGTAGAGATGTTTGAGGAATAAATGGATAATGAGCCAAACCATATATAGTTCTTGTGTAGGGGTAATCACAAAAGGTGTAATGATATAAAGTCTCTTGTAAATCAGAATCAAATGCACACTAAAATGTAAAATTAAGATGATGCTTGCACGGTGGGGTATCTTAATTGTAGAAATTGAAATACTCTTACCATTAGCCTATGTAATATCATTTTTTTTTTTTGGGACAATCACCTATATACTATCAATCTGGGGAAATTTGTAGATCTTGTGTGTGTGTGTGTGTGTGTGTGAAATCTTTGATCCAAAATTGTGGTTTTCTGATTGCCTTGTGATATTCTAACTCAAAAAATGACAAAGATAAATGAATAGTTCTTTGGTGTGTGCGTGTGTGTGTAAAATCTTTGATTTAAAATGGTGGTTTTCTGATTGCGTTATGATACTCTAACTTAAAAAATAACTAAGATAAATGACTATTCTAGTTACTCTTATAGATCTGAAAGGCAACATGAAAAATATAAACATGAGGTATGTATTAGTAATTGCCCTAAGCCTCTAAGCACGCGTGTTTCGCCTTTTCATTGGTTAAAAATTAATTTATTAAAAGTTCATTTGATAAAAATTAATTTAATAAAAGTTATTTATTATAACAAAATTTATATTTAAATATATTTTTTAAAAAATGAGTTTGTAAACTAAAAATTATTTGGATTATATATAGTGAAATATGTTTGTGTATGTGCAATTACCATATTGATTTATGATTATTTATAATTTTTATTATATTATGTTAGAAATGTTTAAAAAATGTAATAAAAATTTTAAATAATATAAAATTTGATATGTTAAATAATAAAAATAAAAATAATATGAAGTTTTAAAAATTGGCACTTACAAATAGCTCATAGAGAGACAAATGTATAAATCAACAACTAAAAAATAATATAAAGTTTAAAAAATGAGCACCTACAATTAGCACCAAGTTGAGAAGAAGAGGGGTAGTGATTGGAGGTGGATAAGTCATGCTAAAAGAAAGAAGGCATCCACATCGTGTGGCTTGTGGTGTTTTAAGGGTATAATGGAAAAATAATATAAGGAGAATGACATTGGAGGCTTTAAAAAGAAAAATTATTATAATAAAAGCCTATCAATTTTGTATCAAATATAGTGTTGTGAAAACACGAACATATTGTTGTGAAAAATTGAGCATTAACTTGTTAAATTTATGAGAAAAAACTAACAAAAAATATAAGTTAAGATTCAGATTTTTACAATATGTTCTTTTTTACACAATATAATATTTGATGCAAAATTTATAAGTTTTTATTGTAATAATTTTTTCTTTTAATATCTTTAATGTCATTCCCCCTAATAAGTTTTGACTCACTCATTAATGCCCATCTGTCACATTTAAGATGAAAAGTTTTAATTTTTTAAATTGAATGAAAGTACATTTAAAATTTTTTAGAATGAACTTTTGAAGAGAAAATGTAAACCAAACAATCAAACAACCTCCCACGTTTCAAAGTGAAAAAGTACTTTTGAGATGTTAGAAAGTTGAAGTTCAAACTTTGTCTAAATAATTTTGTGATATTAAAGTTAATGCATTTCTCTCATATTTAACGCTAGCTTATAAATTAAAATTGAAAACATCGTAGTAGTAAAAGGATCCACAAATTCAGAGGAGAGCTAATTATAAATAGAAAATTAAAATTAAGCGAAGAGCTGTCCTAATGAAAATGATGCGGCAGAGTCACGCATCCTCTCCTTGTGGTTAAATCAAATGATCGATAAGGACAAAAATAATGGGAATTGAACCCGACGTGAATCGAACACGCAACCTTCTGATCTGGAGTCAGACGCGCTACCATTGCGCCACGGATCCACTGTCGAGGACACTCTTGCGTAAATAAATAAGTAACGTTTTTGAAAATGTCTTTTTTCACCCAAAATTTAGTTAAAATAAAAGGAAATGTAATCTTTGAACAGATAATTACATACAAGTTCCATATAAAAAAAGTAAATTACTATAATAATTGAACTAAAATTATTAATAATACATTTTGTGTGAGACTTCAAACATTATTCTCACATCTTTAAAAGAAGAAAGAAAAAGTCGATAAACTTGCTATAATCTCAACTTGACTTATAAATTTTGTTCCATTCTTTTTTGTTGAGACAATTCTATTTGAGATACACATTAAATAAAAATACTTTTTAGCAAAAAATTAAATTTAAATTTAGTATATTATGAGGAATTAACTAGCTTCCTCCACTACCTACATATTGCATAGATTTTGAAAAATAAATTATAGTCTTTATTATGACTTATTGTAATGAGTATTATAGCTTTAGATTGCTATAAATTTTACATTAAATATATTAAACTAAATATTGTTGACAGGTACAATGTTCCATGTAAATTCAAGTATATTGCACTGCGTGGCTGCAAATTTCACTTCTGACGAACTAGGGATAATTGAAAACCTTCAATAACGGTAATCTTAACTAGGTTATTTTTAATTATTTTTTTCGTCCCTATATATAAGATGTTTTAATCAAATAATATAAAACAATAAAAATTAGTTATTTAATTAAAAGTATAGTAACATGTCAATTTTACCTCTCATTATTGTAAATACAAAATGAATCTCTTTTTTTAAAGTAAATTAATAAGAATATTTATTTTTTAATTTAATAAGAGTACAATAAACTATTCATTAAAAAAATATTTAATAATTTTTATATTTATAAATAAAAAATGTTTTAAATTTTTTTTTTATATATAAAGGCGGAAGAGTAGTTAAAAACACGCTGCCTACAAAATTTAAGGCAAGGCAAAATTAATAATTTGTTCCATAAACTATCTTGACTTGAAAAGCAGTTAGAGTTGATATTATTATATTCATGGATATTATCTCGAGAGAGAGAGAGAGAGAGAGAGATATATATATATATATATATTATTATTATTATTTATAGGCAACGTATAATGCTTTGTTCAGACAATCTTATCACATGAAGATATGATATGAATGAAATGTATTAAAAAAATTAAAATAAAAATAAATTAAATTACTTTATAAGCATAATAAAAATTTTGATATTACATTGTTATAAATATAAAAATCATTACATCTTCATAAATGTTATAAATTATAACTCTCAATTTTATAAATTAATTTTCTATTTTCTGTCGTGAACATGGTTGACCTCTTTTCATTTTAATTATTTTATTTTATTTTTATTTCTGCTTGAGAAAACCAAGGCTCACGGATCCACATTTTTTCAATTAAAAAGTGAGCCCCTTTTTTGGAAAAACCGTGAAAAAAAATGTGGCTCGCCACTTAATGAGCCACGGTTTTTTGGAAACTGTGGCTGTTACTGAGTTATTTTATATTCTCGTCTTTCATTCAGTTTTCAACCTTCGCGCTCTCTCTTCTCCTCTCAGGTGCATGCTAGTTTTGCTTATATTTTTTTTTTTCTATTTTTAAGTCATA